CCCCAAAATCAAGAAAACCACTCATGCCCTAATTTCAAAATCGTCCTCTTCCCCAAATTTCACAGATCCATCCCCAAATTTCAAACTATCCTAGATCGACCTCTTCCCCAATGTTTAGTCGTACAAGTATCAATATCCATTGAACCCTAATTTTTGATCTTATTCATTCGCAGCTTCATCCCCAAAATTTTCAATCGTGTTCTTCCTCATATTTTGCCCTAATTTTGCAGCTTCATCCTCTGACAATTGTCGATCGTGTTCTTCCCCAAACTTTTGCCCTAATTTCGCAGCTTCTTCCCCTGAAAATGTCGAACTCGTCTCCTACAAGCCAAAATTCGCAACATAGCGCTTCATCCAATATCCTAGTGCAGAAGCAGTGCCGCCATTTGGAAGAGGCCATTGTTTTGACCTCAATGACTAACGACAATCCATGTCGGAGGTTCTACAAGTGTCCTTACCCAAAAGTAATTTATTATCGTATTTTGTTCTGTAATTTTTATGCATTTTGTTTACCCAAAAGATATATTTTATATGAAGGTTTTTTTTTTTTTTTATAAGCAGGAGGTAGATTGTCGTTTCTTTGAATTGATTGATCCCTCAATGCCTGATTTCCAAAAGAAATGTTTCATCAAATTGAAGTCTCAAAAAGAGGCTTTAGAAGAAAAGTTACGGGACAAGGTGGCCATGGAAAAACAGCACAATGACAGGTCGGGTGTGAAAGAAGTAAGCTCGACTTGGCTTGAGGAGCTTGAAAATAAAGTCACAGTGCTTGAGGTAGAAGGTCACAAGAATGCCGAAGTCATGTTCATTAGCTGAAGGTGAACTAATTTTGTGATGGTTTTGATGTTGTGATGGTCATGTCCATTAGGTTTTTTAGATTGTGTTTGGTTGATATATGAAATGAGGTTTAGATTGTGTTTGGTTGAAAAAATTCTGCATTAATTTCATTATTAGAAGAAGTATCTTATTAGTTAAACTATTATATTCCTGTTATTGGAATCCTTTTACTTACACTCTTATTCCTGAAAAATAACAATTGACAAAAACAATTTCACATGAAGACATTCTAAACCAAGATCCCACAAAACCTTAAAAGAACAGTTCCTTTCCATAAAAATAAGTACACATTCATTTCGAAAATGACAACACACTTCATTTAAGTCATTCACACATAACAAAACACATAAAATATCATATAACACATCCAGATCCCACAAAAAACTCAAAAGCACATCATCAAGATGAGTTCAAACTACTGAGTCTCCACCCACAAAAAATCCGAAAATGAATAAGTTG